CTAATTCTATCAAGCTTAAAAATTTGTAGACTGAAAACTTCTGAAACCCAGCATCATCCCTGCCTTATGCCCAAAGGAAATCAAAGAAATAAAAAGCTACTTGGCTGTCACAGCCTCAACGAAAAAAACATGAACTCGCAATCTATTTTCAGAATGGAAGAAATTTATTGGAGAGATTTTGTTATACATGTATGGGATGCCTGGGAAGTCAATCAGGAAAAGATTGGCTAATTCGGAGTTCACCAACATCCAGGGGCAACTGGAGGAGAGACAAAGAGAATTGATAGTGTCACTAAGCTTGAAATTGTTCTGCCCAGTGGGTGCTAAGGCTCCACAAAGCATGAAGGAGATTTCTTCCTTTCTCCATCTTTCCAGTATTCTATCAGGGCCTCTCACTGACTAAATAAGAATGGAAGCAGCTTGTAGAAATAGGCTGCAGAGACTGGCCTTGTGCCATAGTAAGAAAGGGAAAGCGTGGCCCTGACGGGCACCTGTTCCTAGGTACCAAATTCCATGCTAGGTTATAGTCCAAGAATGATAAAGAACTATACCATGATTTTATATTTTGTAAAGGTGGGTGGAATAAATAAGCAAAGACTTTGAGCTGTCTGTTTAATCTGAAAGATGCTGTTCTTAAAATAGAATCAGTAATAATTTACTATTGCTGAAATTCCCACAGATCAAATTACTGAGCATGCACCATGGTATGACTACAAAGAAGGAAGTACATGTGGTATACATGGTGGTTCTCGGTCAGGTTTACTGACTCTGTTGACTTCAGTGGATTTCAGTGTACATCTGTGTTCTTGACAGGCATGTACTAAGTAGTTTACTTGAACTGTGTATACTCTTCTTAAACTTTCATTGATTCATAAAAACAGAATAAAATATCTTAACATCTCTGACAGTCAATTAATTGGGTTTGATTTCTCAAATAGACGTGTTAAATTTAAATTTTATCAGGACAGTGAATCAAATTTGCAAAACAAAGTTTAATCATGGAGTATATTAAATAGTTCCCATTTATTTGTTTACTTACAAATTCAGTTAACAATATATGACCCATCTTCAGCAAAGTAGATATTGACATTTTCCTTAGCCCAATCTCTTTAAGGAAGTAAGGATCATTAAATAATATTACTATGTTGTCTCCCCTCCATGGCCCATAAGATATATGTTTAAAAAAATGACTTAAAGAATTCACCAGTAGGAAAAATTGAGGTAGCAAATAGTATGATGGATGTCTATAGTCCACCTACTAAATAAACAGATTATAAGGTGGTATTCTGCCCAGCTCAAAGTCTCTAGTGAAGTAACACTACAGTTAAAGAAATAAGCTCTTATAGGAATAGCCAAACAAATCATGCTGTATCTTACTTTTCCCTAGCTCAGAAGGGAGTTTTACTCCTATATATAATGAATGAGAGTATTTCCTGGGTCAGGTAGATTCCATTATTAAAATTACAACTCAGGTCACACATGAATCCATCTACATCCTGAATCTTTAACGAAATTCAGTCAACTGCCTCCTTAACCACATTTCTCAGTCTCGTCTAATCATCTGTGCATGGCAGACAGCACAGTATTATATAGATAAGGCCAAAATAAGACCAACGCTAAAATGAAGGAGCAGAAGTTTCATTTTATAGAATAGTAGATTAATTGTGTACCTGGTACTCTCATGGGAGACTTAGATTGGGTTCCTGGCACTTAGATTCCGTCTGCCTCAACCCTGGCCTTTGTGGGCATTTGAGGAGTCAACCAGCGGATGGCAGCTGTCTGTTCCTGTCAGTCTGTGTCTTTCTGCATCTCAAATAAATGAACAGATAAGTATAATTTTAAGGCATAGGTGCTGAATCTTGCTTAGTATCATTGTAAAGAAGGTTAGGGCACAGCTAAAGAAATAGAAACAAGACTATGGTTGTAACCTCATTTATTTCTTCAGGACTACAGGTTTTACTTAATACTGAAGTACATAAGATTTAATAATCATTTCTTCAACAAATGTTTGTTAGCTATCCACTGAATGCTCGTCCAGTCTATATATATACTATATTACTCTTGTGCCCATAATTTGTTTTATATATTACTGACAAAATAATCCAATATTCTCTCAAAACTATACCAAATTCATCATTTCTGCCTCAAAATTGCTCACAGACTTATCTGTAGTATCACGATCAGGGGTAAATTTTTTTCTGTCTATGTCATCATCTGAATATTCCCTTTTAAATCTTCCTGAAGACGCCCTATGTCTACTTCTCTTGCACTGTTAAGTCTCAGATATTCCTAAAAGCCTTTTCTGAATGCATAAATTCCTTTGAAATCAGTACCTTATCAATATTTATTCCTTTCATCATTTATAGCATTTTTACAGTATCTGAGAATTAATTAAACTACCATATGCTGTGACTCTTCATTATTCTCTTCATTTTATATCTCTGAAATTAGGTTATATGATTTTATAAATGTGATTTAGGCCTTAAACTTCTTTGTCTTTTCCTCTCTAAAGAATTTCTTTTACAAATGTTACATTGCACAAAATACCTTAAATACAGACATAAAGCTCCCTAATAAGATGAAGACAAAGTTTATTTTACTAGACTCAAGGTATGCCATCACTGAGTTTCCAATCATTATTGCACTTTTAACTTTCATAAGTTGAGAAGGCAATCATGAAATTATCTGCAGACTAGTTTTGACAGACAAATAACAGTTTTGAGCAGACGTTACTGTCCTAGATTGTTTTGTAGGTATGAATTTTACAATCATTAATTCTATTCCTGGTGGTGATAAAGCTGGCGGGAATTGCACTTTCTCTAGGCTGCACAATGAGAACAACAAATACTGGCATGGAACTTGTGACCTTTTCTATGGCCATGACACTTGTTGCCTGCAGATGTCAGCTCATGCATTTCCCTGTGTGGACTAGTTTGGTGATCCACTATATGTCATTATTTCTTCTGATAGCTTTATGAAATAGATCAATTATGAAAACCTTAAAGAATTTGTATGTGGACTCTTCAACAACCCAGTGTGAAAGGGATGTTGTGGGTCGCATCCTTAGGAATTAGGCACTTTGGCAGCCTCGGTACACATGGATCGTATATGTGACACCACGTTGTGTTGTCCTTGTATCCTGGTCTGCAGGCTTTGTCAGCCAGGTGGCGCACAGAGAGCTGGAGGTACTGTCATTGGCAGACCCTCAGGAGAAATGGCACCACATCCCACTGCTTCTTTTTCTGTAGCTTCGAGTGACACTAATCTATACCTACTGTGTGCTTACCATGGATGGCTGCCAGCAGATACAAAGGCTAAAAAAATGTAAACACATTTTGTCTTCAATATCTAACCAATGCCCTAAGTGTAGTGATTATGTTTTATTTATTTGGTGATTATTTTAATGATGCTTACTATTTCCTGTGGGGAGCAAAAGAGTGTTCATTATAATGCAGTGATAGAGCATAGTTAGAATGAAGAAATAGTTTCTGTTCTAGATTAATTTAATGAAAATTTCAAAATATCAATAATGTATAAAATTCACTTGATAGTTTTCAGGATAATCTCAATTTTAATTGATCTGTTAGTTTTCCTTTGTTTTTCAAGGAAACATACTTTAGGATGAAAACAATTTGAAAATAGTAGTTATTTTTTTTCCACATAGAAAATAGCTATAATGTACTAAAAATAGAAAAGGAACTAATAGCTTTCAAGATGTGATTGTATTAATTATTTTTTCTTCATGCCTTTTCCTTCAAATTCAAAACCACTGAATAATTGTGATGTCCATGATTTGTTCACAACTGCATAGCTTGTAATTCTGCCAATAGAACTTCTATCCATCATTCTTCACAAAGCCCCTAAATACCCAGAATTAGAAACTTAAACTCAGTAACAGAAATCCAAGGATAAAACAACTTCTTAGAAATGCCAAAGTGCTCATTGTGAAACTGGTTCTTCTTTTTCTTCATTAAGAATGTACAGCAATATTCTACATCCTGAAAATGATAGACTGACTGAGTTTACTTGGTATAGTAAGAGCAACAGTTACTGGACAAGTGAGAAGGATACAGAATCATCTGATTTAGTGTGCTGTAGGGAGTGGGCTGATGACTGGCACTTTGTTTCTCTCTAACTCTTCTCTCTGACAGCCAACTGCACATGAACATTATGTGTTGGCCTATTCCACCTGTGCAGTTTTTCACTGTGGTTCAGAGAAATGAAAACTGACATTTCTCTCTTCAACATTGTTTGGAATAAATCGATATGATAGTGAAAATATTGCTGATTCTAGGCTATGGAACATGAAAATGTCTTATAACTTCAAGTTAACTCCATCAAGAAACCTGAAATTGAAATATTTTAAAAGTAAATTACTGAAAACTTTTTGTAGGAATTTTAAACTAGATAATACTAGAGCACTCTTGGGAAATTAGGCAAATCAGCAATGAAAATACACGTAGCACAAAGTATCATCATATTCTATATCAGGTTTAAAATATGGCAAAGATAAAAATGAAGCATAATCTGATATTATTGTATAACCAAAAGTTATATTACTAGCTATGAGTGCATCAGTATAGAGGGAAATATAAAATGAAAAAATTAAACTTAAGAAATATGTAAGTTGTATATATTTCAGAGTTTCATAAGTCATTATTAGGTCAATAAATAAAAACTATGTTTTGACTTTGCATAGTTTTTAACAAACCAAATTTCAGTGTGCTCATATCTCTTCATTATCTCTTGATAGATAATCCCAGTATTTCTCACTGTGCTTACTAATAATTAAATCAGTAAATATCAATTAAGATGTTAAATTGTGTCACAGTGACATTAAGGTCTACTAACAATTGCAGTAAAATAGATAATCATACATATATTGTCATATTATCAAAATAATTTTGGTACATGAGTCCATTTGTCCATTCTTTTAATATTATTATTTTGTTATTAATTTTTTATTACTTATGAATATCAATTTATTTTGATGTGAACTTACAGGGACTGCTTCAAATTTAAGCCTTGTCTTCCATCAGCTTCTAAAGGCTTGTGTAATGTCTATAAAAATAAGTTGATTACTTAGAAACTGTGAACAGTTTATGCATAGAAACATTGTGATTTTCATCTTCCTAATCCTCGAAAAGCATCTGACCCATGGCAGGCAATTGCTTAATATTTGCTGAATGATCAAATACATTTGCCAGAAATTTGAAATAGAACTGAGCAACCAAGATATTGTTGTGCAAAAATTAATTTACAGAATCAACTGTGTCATTCATTGCAGTTTTAAGTAAATATTTTGCATTTTATAACTAGAGGCTGAAGTGCCAAAAATGAAAATGCAGTAATTAATTTAGATTTATTTTTTGATGATTTTATGTATCATCAGTAACAATAAAAATTAGTGTTTAGCATACTTATTAAAATCTTTTTTAGTGGAGGCTAATTGGAAAGATCTCCATGCAAAGATTTTTATCATTAAATTTTATAATAGAAGACACTTTAAAACAAAACAACATAATTGTTAAGCACTGGGATATTGACTTGATAAAACCTTGCTTAAATATGAGAACATGAAAATACTGCCATAAAGAATATTTAATGGTATGGAAAATGTATTTTATATTAGGTAAGACAGTTTTAACATGGTTCTATGCATGATATGACCCCTTACTTATAAAAATATAATGTAGATAAATGTCAAATGGGGTAGAAAAACACAACTCAATGGCAAATGGAAATTTTCTCTAGGTGAGGATGTTGCTTATTATTATTTATAGTTTTACCTTTTGCTTTTTAGTTTTACATGTAATAATTGTATAATAAATGTGTTATATTTTAATCATTGCCTTTTAATTGAGGTAAATGATCACTAGCATAAGGAAAAATTTTATTTCATGTGCTTATTTATCTTTCCAGAAAATATTCTATACATTATTGTTTTTAATATTATTATGGACAGTATTACTTTTTTAAAAGTATTTATTTATTTGAAAGTTAGAGTATGAGAAAGAAGGAGAGACAGAGATCTGCCGTCTTCTGGTTCACTCCCTAAATGGCCACAATGGCTAGGGCTGTGCCAGGCTGAAGCCAGGAGCTTCTTCCCAGTCTCCCATGTGGGTGCAGGGGCCCAAGGACTTGGATCACATTCTGCTACTTTCCCAGGCCATTAGCAGGGAGCTGGATTTGAAACGGAGCACCTGGGACTTGAACCAGTACCTATATGGTATGCAGGCACTGCAGGCTGCGGCTTAACCTGTTGCACCACATCACTGGCCTCAGACAGTATTGCTTTTTGATTTACTGGCTTATTCACTGTCACCTCTAAACCAAATAAAATTGAAAACTAGATAATAAATTTTCTAAATTAGATTTTCTCATAAACAATATTAAATTCATTCTGAAAATGAAATAAGTAGAACAAAATCTTTTTACTGTGCCCATTGTATTCTAGACATGAAAGACCAAGTTGTGTAAAGCATAGTCTCTTCTTAAACGCTCGCAATTGAGAAGGATAAAGACAGGGAACTTAAACTTACAACAAACAGGAAAAAGTCATAAAAATCTGTGGCTACAGATATGACGTTTTAAGAAACTTATACATATTTGCTAAGAAAATCCTAAAATGCAAAATGCTTCAAGGAAAATCACAATGTCTCATGAACCTAGTGTTATGAATGAAAGGCTGTACTCACATATCCAACTTCTGTCAGGATTGTTGTAAATAAATAAAATAGTTCCATTCTATTTGTTAGTTTAATGCTTTCTGCAGTTCCACTTCCCTTAAAACCGCACTTGTGGCTAGTAATGGATTCTTCTCATCCAAGGCTATATCAATTAGAGGAGCAAATTGGAGAAAGGCAGGATGTAAATCATTGCTTTTTAAAGATAGTGGCCAAGTAGATAAACCAATATATGTCACCTGAAGTCAACATCAAACTGACTTCTGCCTCTAGGAAGAATATATAGAAAAAATCCAGAGCAATATCATTTTATTATTGACTTTTATTGTTATAGTTTTTGTTTTAAGTCAGACACTCTGGTGAGATTGGTTAGTACAATTTTAGTAACAAAAACATTTCTGAATGCTTATTCAATGCAACTGAAATAATTATTCAGGTAAATTAAACTTGACCAGGTCATCAAACTTACAATAACTTTACTACCTTCAGAATATATTGTTCCCAGTAACTCTAAAATGAATATTTAAAAGCAAAAGGCTGAGAAGACCAGCCAAAACTGGATGATATTATTTTCCTTAGGAAATTAACTAGCATTTTAAAAATTCAATAGGATTTCATCTGGAATTTGTCAAAGGTCAATGAACGCTAATGACTACTTGTTTTATTACACACATTGTCTTATTTATTTATGTATTTGTATAGAACAAGTTCTGTTTCCTACTTGTGTATTGGAAATTATCCAACTGGACAAAGACCAGAACTAGCTCAATGTTGTATTCATCACCTAGAGCACTGTTGGCCTTCATTCAATGTTAAATATTAATAACAATAAAAGCTTCCGTAAGTAAAGCCAGACAGGCAAAGTACAGACAAATATGAGCAATCACTCACTCCATCACCAACAATGTCACCCTTATCAGAAAAGATAATTCACAAAGAAGAATGTAGAATTGGTCATCCTGTTAAGATTCACACCCTCTGGAGTTATCTAGACTGCGTTCTGACAGTTCTGTGAGATTCAACTGTAAAGTCTTAAAATCCTCTGTGAAATACACTGAGACCACTTGACAGCACACTTCTCTAAGCAACATGTTTTGATGATTTTCTCTAGTCATTTTTAGAAAGAAGGGTAGATTCCAAGTTGAATTGTTAATATTACCCTGTCCTTTTAGGTTTGTACCATTCCTCCCAATACTGTTAGAAAACCAAAGGAACAGAAATTAATGGTGATTGCTTGAGAACCTAAAGATAAAACCATATTCCACAGAGTTCCATTTCCAGCCTGGCTGTTATAACATGTTCTGAGGTTGCCTTCAAACAACATATGGGAAAGATATCAAGTGTTCACGAACAACCTTGGCAAAATCGTTACTGTCAAATCAGTAGCAGAAAAATCAAGGGCTCTATTTGGCAACTGTTAAATAAACGGGTACTTTTTTTGGGCAGAATTGACAATTCTATGCTCCTTCTGTACAACAAAATAAAAAGTCCAATAGGATCTTTATGTAGTATCAATCCATGTAATAAAAAGTAACCCTTCCTGTAATTGAATTGTCATTTTTCACATATTTTCCTTGACCTTGCCTGTATGTCATATTTTTATTCTTCATAATGGTGGATGCAAAACAGAAGACCCATATTGACTACAGTGCTCAATGGTTGTTCAGATATTAATTCAGCATGTCAGTAGCTTACACTTTATAGACATAATTATTTCACTCTTCACTTCCTAATTTGATGCAGTTTATGATAACAAAACTCTAGCTGTAAAATACTAGTAAGTATTATAGTATGCTGTTGGAAAATAAATATTACTGTAATTGTTTAACTGATTCAGTCTTTGGTGCTCAACAACAGGGAGGAGTTTAATACTTCATGAATAATACCCATGTACCCAAAAAATCTGACATTAACAGAGTACATCAAATACAAATGAAAAAAAAATCTGACCTAGTGTTTGGATAATATTTTTGCACAGTATAAGTTCATGATAGTTACAATCATTTGTTCTTTAATACTGGATATTTCAAACCATCAGTGTTCTTTCATGTGAAGTATCTCTCATACTGAATATGAAACTGTATTGTGTTTATGAAAATGGTCACATTTGGGTAGGTGTCCCTAGAGTATGGCAAACTGGCATTGCTATCTAGGTTCCATTCTTTGTGTAGCTTCACATGCTGTTATAGGCTCTGGGCAGCTGCTGTGCAGAGACCAAGCAGACAGCATGGAGGAGAAAGGTGGTCTTTCTACCATCTGGTGATCAAAGACCCTTGGGGGGCTCATATTAGGTCACGAGCTTCTGTGCCACCATATGACAGGAACTTGGCCAAGCATTCTTTTTCCATTCCTCCTAGTGCTCTAGAGGCAGCATGTGGGGTGTGTGGTTATGTCCCTTGGTATGCATATTTGGCCTTTTCCTACCCATTTTCAACAGAGCAGCCAGAATCATATTTATAAAACATAAATCAGATCAAGTCACACCCAAGCTTTCCCACAGCACTTAGGACAAAATCCAAACCCCTTTGGTTGCTAAACCCTGCCTAATCTGGCTGCTGCCCAGTATCAATTTTTTTCACACTGCTTACCCAATTGTCTGTCATGCTCCAATGCCTCTGCCCTCCTTACTGATCCTCAACTAAGGCAGAATTATTTCCCACTTTTGAGAATTTACAATTCCTTTTATATATGCTTGGAATTTGCTTTTCTGGGTTTAATTTGATTCCTACTTCCTAATTTTCAGGTCTTGAGTCAGGTCTCAATCACCCCTTTGGTAACCATATTCCACAAAGCACTCTTCTACAGTTGTTTCCTATTGCTCTAATATTTTCTTTTGTGCCTATATTAGCCTAGAATTACTTTACCTTTTAAAAATTACTAAAAATTTTAAATAAATTTAGATATTTTGGAGTATTCTAAGGTACCCCAAGTTATTTTTCAGGCATTCTCACTGTAAAGAAGCTTTTAGAGGGCAGCCATCATCCTTTGATTTGCTGATGTATCCTCAGTAATTGACTATATTTGTGTGTTCACTGCTAGAAAGTTATACGTTGAAATACTAACCCTTACATCATGGTAAGAGGAGGTGGGAACATTGGGAAGCAGTTAGATCATGAGGATGGAGCCCTCATGGATTAAATTGGTGCCCTTATAAAAGAGACCCAAGAAGGCTCTCTCACACTCTTTCTGGTTTTTAACAGCACAGCAAGAATCTGGCTGTCTACAAAACATTAAATGGCCCTCATCAATGTTCTGTAGCTGGGTCTTAGACTTCTAAGCCTTGAGAACTGTAAGAAATAATTGTTCTTTAAGGTACCTAGTCTATTCTACTTTTGTTATATCAGTTTGAATGGACTATAACACCTCTATTCATGACATTTAATGAAAACTAAAAACATAATTGTTGTTGAATAAATACATGGATAAATGATTTTATTGGAAATAAGAACAGTAATTACTATATATAACTAAATTCATTCAGATTTTAATATAGGTTAATTCAATTCCCTCTTTGAGCCAAAGGATGAAATATCAAATGAAGGTAGATTTTACATTTGTTAGAATTTATATGCTAGGTAAGGAAGGAAAGAAATATATTAAGCACCTGAGTTTGGTATCAAGACTGAGGAATTCAGTGTGTTCCAAAATGACTGAATAGGGGATAGCCACACTAACTTCAGCTGCTCTGGGATATGAAAAGAACAAAGGAAGGAACACAGTTACACAGGCCTGAGAGAAGGAAAGTTTTGGAGAGCAACTGAAAGCATAGCAAAGACTCCACCGGACAAGAGGGGAGAAGAAAGGGACACTGCTACAACTAGCCATGTGGCGTAGCCAGCTGTCAGCTGTGAGTTACCATCACACCACAACAAGCACATGCCTCTGACTATCCACTGAAGGATGGACACTCCACTAAGCTGCAGAGGCATATTTCAAACATAAATGCCATTAGAGGAGAAAACCAATAAGTGGTTCCATAAATGTCTAAAAATAAATGTAGAAACATGAAAAACATGAATAAGGAAGACAATATGACTGCCCCAAAGGAGCATAACAACTCTTCAATATTAGAATGTGAAGATGAAGAGATTGATGATATGCCTGAAACAAAATTCAAAAGAAGTATTCAAAGTGTTACTCAAAGGCAATAAGAAGCAAATCATGAGGTAAGGGAAAACACATGATATGGCTGAAAAATTTTCCCATGAGATTTATATATTGAAGAGAAATCAAACTAAATTAATAGAAATGAAACATTTAGTATTTCAAATAAAAAATACAGTGGAAAGCCTTGACAACAGAATTGATGGGACATGAGAAAGACCATCTAAGCTATCTCAGTAAGACCAAAAAAAAAAAAAAAAAGAAATTAGAAAAAGTAAAAATAGTGTTCAAGATTTATGGGATACTATCAAATTACCTGAGATATAGGTCGTAGGAGTTCCTGAAGGCCTGGAACAAGAAAATGGATTAGAAGTTCTATTCAGTGAAACAACAAAAAACTTCCCTAATTTGAAGAAAGGCACACCCAAGTACAATAAGCACATAGAACTCCTAATAGACATGATCATAAAAGATCTTCACTATGACACGTTTTAGTCAAACTTTCAGGTGTAATACGTAAAGAAAAGATTCTAAAATGTGCATGAGAGAATGTCAGATTACCTTCAGAGGATCTCCAATTAGACTAATAGCTGATTTCTTATCAGAAACCCTACAGGCTAGGAGAGAATGTATAGATATAGTATAAGTCTCAAAAGAAAAATTTGTCAACCTGAATGCTGTACCCTGAAAAGCTCTCATTTATGAATGGAAATTGAAATAAAGGCCTTCCATGGCAAACAGAAATTGAAAGTATTTGTCACCACTTGTCCAGCCTTACAAATGATGCTTAAGGATATACTACACACAGAAATAACAATGAAAGGAAGGGTGATAAATTGCCATGTGTTATTTATATTGTCTAATTTCCAACAAAATACTATGAAATGAAGAAAGGAGATGAAAGTATAGCCTATATACAAGGAAAAATGTGCACTTTCATATCTATGAGGATATTTAGGTATTGAATTTATTTGACAGAGATATTACATAAGCTTTTATAAATGTAGTCAAAGAATTAAATCAGGTACATATGTAATAGTTAAAATTACACTGATATTGCATCAATTGGAGATTATAAGAAATGAGATGTAAGTCTTTTTTAAAAAAGACAACAAAGGAAAGAATCAGCAAAGTCAAAGATGGCTCTGTTGAGATTACTGATTATGAATAGTGGAAATAAAAATAATAAAAATGCATACATTCTCAGAGACTTGTGAGATAATGTCTGACATACCATATTACATAATAATAGTCCCTGATGGAGAGGAGATAAGGAAAAGAGTAGAAAAACTATGTACTGAAATAATGGCCTAATACTTAATGAAGAGCTTTGAAATCCAAGAAGCTTGGCTGGTGCCATGGCTCACTTGGCTAATCCTCCGCCTGTGGCACCGGCACCCCAGGTTCTAGTCCCGGTTGGGGCACCCGGTACTAGTCCCTCTTGCTCCTCTTCTAGTCCAGCTCTCTGCTGTGGCCCAGGAGGGCAGTGGAGGATGGTCCAAGTGCTTGGTTCCCTGAACCCACATGGGAGACTGGGAGGAAGCACCTGGCTCCTGGTTTCCGAACGGCACATTGTCAGCTGTAGCAGCCATTAGGGGAGTGAACCAACAGAAGGAAGACCTTTCTGTCTGTCTCTCTCTCTCACTAACTCTGCCTGTCAAAAAAAAAAAAAAAAAATCCAAGAAGCTTATAAAAGATTAAACAGGATAAACTCAGAGACATTCATACCCCAGCTACATCACAATGAAACTGTTAAAGCAAAAGAATACCACTGGTATTGTGGCATAGCAGATAAAGTGGCTTTCTACTAAGTCAGTATCCCATGGAGGTGCCAGTTCTAGTTTTGGCTGCTTCACTTCTGGTCCATTTCCCTGCTAGTGGCCTGGGAAAGCAGTGGAAGATGGCCCAAATGTTTAGGTCCCTGAACCCACATGGGACACCCTGAAGAAGCTCCTGGATTCCAACTGGCACAGCCCTGGTCATTGCAGCCGTTTGGGGGATAAACCAGCAGATGGTAGACCTCTTCCTTCTTCTCTTCCTCTGTAACTCTGCCTTTCAAATAAATAAAATAAATCCTTTTTTAAAAAAAAAAAATTAAGCAAAAGAATCTTGTAAGCAAGATAAAAATGACTCATCACATACAAAGAATCAAATAAGATTAAGAATTGACTTCTTGTTTAGACAGCGGAGATCAAAAAGCAGTAGTGTGACATATTCTAAGTATTTAAAGTAAATTAATGTCAATCCAGAATACTACTGTCAGGAAAACTGTACTTATAGAAATAGGGAAAAGTAAATCTCTCCTAGACTAAAATTATATTTTAAAAAACTGTCTTTAGCAGGTGTGCTAGAAAAGAAATACCAAAAGAAGTCCTTTGGATTGAAATAAAAGCAAAGTAGTCATTTACTTGAATCTAAACAAAATAAGAATATAAGTAGGTAATTCATAAGTAAACATAAAATGTAATATCAACACATTTTAAAATTATTTTGATTAAACAGAGAAAGAAATCTTCTATCCACTGGTTAATTCTCCAGATGCCTAAAAACCTCTGGGATTAAGCCAGCTGAAACCAGGATTCAGGAAGTGAGTCTAGGTCACTGGTGTGGGTGGCAGTGACCCATGTACTTGAGCATCACCTACTACCTTTCAGAGTATGCATTAGAATGCAACAGTGTTTGAAGTAGAGCCAAGACAGAGACTCTGTCATGGGATGCACCTATCCCAAAAGGGATCTTTTTTTAATTTTTTAAAAATTTTTTTATTTTTTATTTTTGACAGGCAGAGTGGACAGTGAGAGAGAGAGACAGAGAGAAAAGTCTTCATTTTGCCATTGGTTAACCCTCCAATGGCAGCCGCGGCCGGCACGCTTTGGCCAGCGCACCGCGCTGATCCAATGGCAGGAGCCAGGTGCTTCTCCTGGTCTCCCATGGGGTGCAGGGCCCAAGTACTTGGGCCATCCTCCACTGCACTCCCGGGCCACAGCAGAGAGCTGGCCTGGAAGAGGGGCAACCAGGACAGAATCCTGCGCCCTGATCGGGACTAGAACCCGGTGTGCCGGTGCCGCAAGGTGGACGATTAGCCTAGTGTGCCGCGGCGCCAGCCCCAAAAGGGATCTTAACCACTATGCTAAATGCACAACCCAAGATGTATTTTTAAGTAATTTTTATTCTCTTATCTGTTACAAACAGATGACAGCATAAAGTAATAGAAAAAAAACTAAGTCGATGAACTTATATAAACTTAAAATTTGTGTAATAACATAAAGGAATAAATACTGTTTGAGAGCAATTTTTGTATACTATTGGAATTTAGTTGATTTTAATTCAACCTGGATTTTTAAATTTGAGAAAGAGACAGACATCCCATATGCCGACCTGCACCCCAAAAGCTAGCCTTGGCCAAGACTATGCCCAATTAAACACCAAGATCCAGGAACACAATCAACCTGACCAAGTCCCATCGCTTAGATGTGAGCCATCACCTGCTACCTCACGTGGTCCACATTAACAAGAAGCAAGAAAGGAGAGTAGAGCTAGCACTTAAAGAAAGACATTCTACAATGTGCATGAAAATGGATGCCACTGAAGAACAGCATTGGCAGAGAAATAAGCCAGATAAGGCAAGACAAAAATACCACATTTTCTCCCTTATATGTAGGAACTAAAATTAAAAAAAAAAAACACACACAGAAACCAAAATACATTACCTTTAGACCCTGCTGCAAACACCAAGAAGAAAATAACCTAGAAATGTAGCATAATAAATAGCAAACTAACTAAACCATTACAGTACGATATATCTGTTTAGCACAAAATAAGGCAATGTGGAGAAATGGGAATAAAAAAAGACATTCAACATCTTGAAAACAAAAAGAAAAGGATGTAAATCCTACCTTATCAATAATTATATTGAACATAATGAATTACCAACTACAACCAAAAGACAGGGAGTGTAATAACATGTAACAAAAATCAAAACAGAATCCAGGTGTTTGCATTCCACAAGACACAAATGGAGTATAAATAAAAGGACAGGAAAAAATATACCATGCAAAAAATAACCAAAAGATAACTGGAATGGCTATACTATCAGAAAATATACTTCAAAACAAACATTGCTTTAAATAGCACAATGATATTTTATATTAAAAAATCTGTCAGAAAGACTAACAAATATAAATTTATGTGTTCCTAACAGCTGAAATTCAAAACAATAACTACAAAAATCTGATGAAATTATAGGAGAAATAGAAATTTACCAATTATAGTTGGATATTTCAGTACTCTAGGTCAAAAAATGGATAGAACACTGAAGAGGAGATTAGTGAAGTTATAGGAGCTTAGAAGTTCATTGTAAATCAATTAGACATAAAACATGTCTTTAGAACATTCCTCCCAACAGCAGAATGCATGTTCTTCTTAAGTGCACCCACAGTATGCTACAATAAAGACTGTATATTAGTCCATAAAGCAGGCCACAATTACCTGAAACCATTTAACTCATGGAGAGTATGTGTTCCAGTCAAACTGGAATAAAATTAGAAATAAGTACCAGAATGGAATTTGGAAAAATCAGTGATAAGCCACAAGTAAGCTACATATTTATATATAAATAATTTGTGAAAAGAAATCAAAATAAAAACTGAAAAATAGTTCTTGATGAATCAAAACAAAACAGTGCTTGGAAGCTGCTAGGGTACTGCTAAAGCAATTCTTCAATAAAAATTCATAACTGTAACAGCTTGTTTTCAATAATGGGAAAGGTTTCATAGCGCAACCAAGGCTTAATTTGAGAAACTAGGAGAGTAAGAGTAACTAAGTTAATAAAAATTTAGTTTAGAATCACAAAGATTGTGAAATCAGAGAAGACCCCCTAAAATCTACAGTAAAATGTGGCCCCTTAAAGTTCCCTAGAAATGCTATCCGGGGTGCCACATGTGCTACCGGAATTTGGGGTGCCTTACGATTTCACCACGGTCTTATTAGTAAATCCCTGATATTAATAAGCCTAAGAGGATTCTTGCCTAATATTTAGAGAAGAATTCTAAATACCGGCACAGATAAACAAGGCAGCATGGTACATCTTAAGCTTTTATTTACTGAGAAAGGTGCATAGGAGAGTGAGAACTTTATTTAGGAGAGAGAGGTGAATAGGGGTTCATACGGAGCACCAGGAACCAGCTACATGGAAGAGCATCTAGGCCAGGAAGCCTAGAGCGCATGGCCTGAAGGTCATGTGCCCTGGAGGCACAGGGCTACGGCAAGCCCCCTTCCTAGCAAGAGGCCAGGGAAAAAGAGCAGGGGCCAAGCACACTGTGCCCTAGGCTTTTAACCCACTTCCAAAGGGGAGTGGTTAATTAACCTGATTGGCTGGTGGGCACCCAGGTCTGGCCAGGTAGGG